GCTGTGAACGTTCTAAACTAACACGAGTCTCATAAGTGTCCAGTTTAAGGGAATTACACAGAAACACATCACAGAACATGAATCAAATATGTACTTTATTCATTTACAATAAATGTCATAAATACATCAGACTGATTGGAGCTAAGGACATACTAAACTGTCTAACATATCCCCTTTATGAATGAAAACTATACTTGATGTACAATTTTCCAATCCAAAGCATTTTAAGACCCTTTGAATGTTGGCCTTTTGGGATAACCCTAGAATTTTACGGGTTCTATCTCTCAGGATCTCAATTCCTAGGACATAAGAAACTTCTCCTATGTCCTCCATATCAAAGTTCTGTTTCATAAATTCTTTTGTTTGAGCTTGTCGCTTATGTCCTTCATTTCCAGAATGTGGTCTCTCATAGATTTAGAGTTAGCCAATCTCGTATTAGCTAGCTTATTTAGCAAGGTTTGTGAGACCACCTTTTCTGAGGCAACAAAGTGTTATTTGATTGCTGCGAGGTATTCAGCCACGGTGTCCTTTTCAGGGATCACACCCCTTGTCCTCTTGTTTATACGGGCTTTCACAACAGATTTGCAGATTCGGTTGGATTTCTCCCATGCATCCAAGTGCTCTATCTCTTTTTGAGATGCACTTTCAACAAGTACTGGTTTTACCTTTTCCCATATGGCCAGGTCTAAGTCTTTACAACCTAGAATTATGTGGAGCATTTTGCTCTATTCCACGTAATTATCCCCGTCCAACATAGGGATTGCAGTAATCTCAAATGAATCGAGATTTGCTGCAAATTGAATTAAACTTGATTAGGAATTTGCCGCAAAAGCAATTGGGTTTTACCTTTGGGCACTCAACCTAACTACCGTATCAACTGAGTATGCATCATCAAGGATGTTATTCCATACCTTTGGGCATTAGGGAATCATTTGACGGTGCACACTCAGTTCGTTAAATCTCAACTGCTTGCCTTTGGGCCCAAGCAGTTAAGATTTAACGTGATGAAATAAGTCTCAGCATCCTCAACACACTAATGGGTTGCTTTGGCTAGGCTCATTTAAAAAAAAAAGAACTCCTAAAAGTGATACAAATAATAACCAGTTTGCCGACGCGATCAAAAGGGTTACAGGGATCCCAACCAAATTAAGAACCAGACCAACATACGATTTGTAAAGATGTTGGTTCAGTTGGATTCAAATTGGCTTAGGTTTCTTGATCCCGTCAACAAATTGGTATTTTACAAAACAATTAACGCCATGCCATAAAAAAAAAAAAAAAGTAATGGGCTTGGGGCCCAACACACAAGACTGTACAATTATAGAAGACAATTACTAATTTTGATTGCTCCTTGACTGCCATTTCGATGACATGGCAATCTCAAAACTTCTGTTGGTCACAGCACCGATTGATAGCATACGAGTCCCAAAAAAAACTTAAACAACAATTGGTGGTCAAAATTATTCAAATATTTCAGCAAATGGAATTCTGATAAAATTAAATTCATTTGACCACTTATTCATATATATGTCAGTCCATAGAACGATCAGCCATGGATAGAAATTCAAATGAGAAGAAATTATCTATGGTCGATCCTTTACTACTTGTTGGGCACCCATTTATAGGTCACGTTGTGACCATTATTTGGACCAAACAGTGCTGGATCGCAGTCAAGGTTTTGATCTTGTTATGCCATCACAAACAAACCAAGTTCACGCGCAATAAACTAACCAATAATTACTGCTACAACCCTCTATGTTAATGGTGGATTTAACCGTAACTATCAACATGGCTTGTTACATTTTCAATGCCATCCAAATCGGCATTTAAATAATGAATTAAAGAGCAATATTAAATAAAAAAAATAAAAAATAAATAAATTACTCTCTTGAATCTAACATAATGGGTAGAATACAACCCATAACTCAAACCATGTTGTAGATTACCGGTATTACCAAAACCCATTAACATAGGTACACAAAATAAATTAATTAATTAATGGTAGCCACGATTTTAACTAGAGGGGTTCAACCATTTACAGAGCTATGGTCTTTGGAGGACTGGCTCTGATACCACTATTGTTATGCTAAATCCGATCAACCATAATAAATGAATTATATATATCATAATTTTACCTCCAGTCACCATAGCCTCTGTTCAAGGATCTGCTGTACCAATGGTTGTTGATGCTGTCAAACCCCTTAGGATCTGGTTCCTTGCTTCCGGATTGATGCTGTCGAACCGCCCAACTGCTACACACCGATTGGAGTCGGTGAATCGCGAGAACTGTAATCCCTTAGTGCTATATTCGATCTCTCTAGTTCAGTGCTGATAGCGAATACTCTTTCTTTCTCTGCTTGGGAGAGCTGAATGAGAGTAAAGCTTGAAGGAGAAGAGGCCAAGAGGGATCACACGCCTAGGCGAGATGGGTCCTCTCTCTAGTCATTCTATTAGGCAATCTTCCTAAATTGTAAATGGGAGATTTAAAATTCAAATTTGAATTTCATAAATCTCTTAATTTATGGGACTGTTTTATTAGGAAGTTGTTTAATTCCAATACCCTCATAAATGAGCTCTAATTAGGGTGATTGGATTTGGACCAATTCAATCTGGATCATGACCACCATGATGGGCCACAATCTGGGTCCTACCCGATGGGTAATTTTTCTAACAACCTAAGGCTGCATTTGTTTGTGATACAAATATCAAATCAAGATATTTATGTTCCCTGGTTCAGGTTTGTGAGCATTTGGTTGTCATATAAAATTGTATCATTTAAGGGCGGGGGGAATGTATTTTATGACACATTCGTATCATGAGGAGAGTGCATAAATTATGCATTTTTTGACACAAACTTGTGCTCTTTGAAAATCGATGTAAGCAAGCTTACCGATTGCGTTGATCGAAGAGAAACCATTGCCTCCTAGTGGTAACTTTCCACTCACCATCTCCGACCACAGCATGGTCATTGCCGACCACCGATATTTTGAATTCCTTTCTTAGAGTTGATTGTGCTATTTTCTTTTGTAGATCTCCTTTCTACTCTGTGGGGACCTTCCGCCGAGGGTTTTGGTCCATTGTCATACACGATTGGCCTTCTTCTCTTCCCTGTGCTATAACTCTCTCTTCTCCATTCACAATGGTAAATCGTCCTTCCCACCGCAGCTACTCCAACGGTAAATCCACCATTGTAACTCCCTCCGGTAGACTCCATCTCCCCCATCCTTGCTTGTATCTCCCACCCTCCTCTCTCCTGTTCTGCTCCATTCCACCAATGCCACCACCGTTGTGAGTGCATCTGCAGCTCCACCGCCACCACCCATGTATGAAACTAAGTCCTCCATCTTCCACTGCTATAAAACCCCATCTCCGATGTCCAATACGAGGATCGAACTCATCCAATGGTAAAATCCAACCAACTCAACTTCCCACAACTATGAAACAACTTGTTGATGTCCGACCAATAAATGGAGTTCTAGATATGTAGTTGTAACTTTATCATCTCCTCTCCAACTATTATTTTACATGATTTGCAAATTGCAATGGAACCATCTTTGGTCACATAAGTACGTACTCCATCAATCAAGCTGCTTTTATGGCGTTGTGCACAAAATATTCTACCAACGGCTAAGCTATTACGAAGCACAATATCCATATTGATACAAGTTGTTTATTCTGTAATCATTCACAAGACACTACTGTGCACTCCTTATCGTGTCATGTTCGGCGGTTCAAACAATTTGGCTCGGCTCATGTTTGAATTTCAAAATTGATGATTTGCTAATTACAAATATACCAACGCTTCTCTATGGTTGGTGGTAGCGAGATCGTCAACTCAATTCTTTGATGGATGGCATGGCTATCTATTTCGAAGTAGAATTATTATGAAACAAATCCGGTATGCCCGAAATCCTCATTTATTTGGTGGTGTTCAATTCGATCCCATTGTTGTTATACGCAAGGCTCACGTTGAAATTGATTGGTGCTCAAGTCTTTTGGATCCCATGCCATCTGCAACTTTGGCCACTTGGATTGGTGGAAGTGTGGTTTAAATCTGTTGGACTAGTCATTCGGGATCATATTGGTACTTTTTCTTCTTGCAAGAGCTTTGCCTATTAAATGTGAAAGTTCCATCGTGGCTGAAGCTTTGGCTCTTTATCATGGTCTACTTTTAGTCAAACAGCTTTAGTTATTATAGTATTTTAAAACTCATGTTGGTGGATGATCTCCATCCACCGTGGCAATTGATCCATATCATTACTCTCTGCAAAGCCTTTTATCTAACCTTCATTCTTGCTCGATGAACTTATGTGCGATGGACGGCAAATGTTGTTGCTCATTTACATGGTGTTTGGAAGTGTGGGTGCTTTTTGGGACCGTTTTTCAAGAAAAAAAATACCCATGCTTCCAGGACTTGTTTTTTTACAAAAAAGCATTTCTACCATGTAGGCAGTGAGCAACGCTGTGCTGTTTGGTAAGGTGATTTTCATCACCATTTTTTATGTATGTATAAGCAACACATAGGATACACATCAGTCAACCGTTGGGGAAAATGGTTCATCGATGCATGAAACACTGGGATCCCGATTTTTTAATAATCGACTGAATCAAACAATGAGATACATGAACATTTGTTGAAATGTCTATGTGGATCTGATGTGGCACCGTTTTTTTTTGAAAAACGGCTATGATTCCAAACATCCCCTAAAGTTGCCAAACGGGGTTTGTTTCTATCTAGACTTTTTACTTAGTCTACTATTCCAGACTTTTTATGTAATACTGTTAAAAATAGAGCTAATGGAATTCTGCCTACGGGCTTCGTTTCTTTCAGAAAAAAAAAAAAAAAAAGTTCATACCTTATCATCGATACAAACTACCAAACACCAACAAAAATGCATGTATTGATTGGAAACAAACGACATGAATACAAAGTGGGTTGAAAGTAGGACCCACTTTGTGTATTCATGAACCGGGCACAAGTATGAAGGGTATACATATCTGTGTTTGTACGCAACCAAACGCAGCTTAATTGGTCTTCCACGAAGCCCACCACGAATTCGGCAAACGGAGCTTTGTTTTCCTCCAAAATCATGGGTTCCAAGGAAACAACATCAATACCCACTCCTCAATCCATCAAAAATATTTCGAGTTCCATATAATCCCCAGACGAATTCGGGAAACAGAGCCTTGTTTCCGCCAAAATTATGGATTCCATGGAAACAACGTCAACATCCACTCCTCAACCTACCGAACCAGCGCCACCTGCATCAGTTCCTCCTCCGTCATCTTCAATACCTTCAACCCCTGAAATCTCATCCGCTCCTTCTCCTAGTTCTAACCCTAATCCTAGCCCTGTCCAAAACTCACAACCATCAACCCCTCTCCCGCAACACCCACCACCACAGCAGCAACCAGTTTTGCAACAGCAACAACAGCAGCAGCAGCAACAACAACAACTATCCACTCTCCAACATTCTCAGCCTAGGCCCTCATCCCTCAGCCGTCCTCGACCACAACCGCCTTACCCACATTTCTCTCAACATCTTCCGTCTCTTCCTCCTTCTTCGTCTTCTTCGTCTTCGTCTTCGTCATCTCTATCTTCTTCTGTTTCATCCCCCATTTCCGCACCACCTATGCAAAGAGGTGGGCTTGCAATCGGGGTTCCAGCGCACCACGCGAGGCCCCCGCAGCAACCTACCTCATATTCGTCTTTCGGGACGTCTTCTTTCAACCAGCAATTTGGTGGGTTGTCTCGGAATTCAGTCAATGTGCCTGACCCTAACAATTCGAGCAGCACTCAGGTGGGTTTCTTAAATGACCCATCCCTGTTCTCTCATTGGATTCCTTCGTGGGCTTCACTTATGATTGATGGTTTTGCTTTTCAGGTAAGGCAGCCCATTCAAGGAATTCAGAGTATAGGGATGATAGGTTCGCATGGTTCAGGTTCTCAATTGCGGCCGGGTGGGGTTTCAGCTAATCCTCAACCGAGACCTGTTCAGCCACCACTGAAATCTCAACCTCCATCAAGTAGCCAGTCTCTAGCTAGTCAAGTCAGTGGAAAGATTTATTTTGAGTTACTTTCTCCAGTTTTTTAACTAATTGTCTGTCGTTCTGTATTGCTGAAAACCTATACTTTAACAAATGTAAATTATTTTTCTTGTGAAAAAAATAGATGCAATATTTTTGTTTACTTTCTTTCCCTGTCTAGGTCATGCTCATTGGTAGTGGTGTTAGTGAAGGGGTATTTTGGTCTTTGCACTTGTTGAGAATGTTGATGTGTACTGCTATTTTAGTTCGGGTGCCTCTTACTTAAATAAGGGCACTTAAGTCTTTTCCAATAAGTTAATAATATAATAACAGGTCTTGCCGAATCTAGGGATAACTTTTTCTCTAATTCGAACCAGACCTTCTCTCTTTTYTCTCTTCTTCTTTCCTCTCCTACTTCTACTTCTTGCTGTTCACTTTACTTTATAGTCAACGAACAATACAGAATTCTAGGGCAGGTCGAACTTCAACACTTATAAATATCTAGCATGTAATATAAATATTGTTTTTTGAATTTAATCTCATTATATGTTTACCAAAAAGAATTTAATCTCATTATATACCATCATAAGATTGCAGTCAGACACAATACTTGATTGAGACATGAATCTCATCCAATACCCCACAGAAAAGGTTACTCCAAGTTTATATTTTCAAATAATTAATTTGATTGTTGAGGTTAGCAAATCTTTTCCTGGGTATAAGGTGCTTGGGACTTAGAATGTGCTGGTACCAATGTTAAATTTCAAGGGGAAGTGGAAATGCTATAACCCATAATGTTCTTTTGAAGATTTAGTAGCAGTAGGATTGACTTCCCATGGATAGAGCCATGGTATTCATAAAGCAAAATAGCAGTTGGCCAATGTGATGTAAAGTATTGCATTCTTTTTTCTCATTAAAACCCACAATCTCTTTTTCTCCTTAATTGCATTGCTTCAAGTAGCTAATGTGATGTAAAGTATTGCATTCTTGATTCTATGAGTCGCCTTTGTACCACGCCCCTCGAGGCAAGCCCGAACAAGTCTATGTTAGGGTCTGAAATTCTTATTTCTCACATAAAAAATAATGGTTTTATAACTTTATTTTGGGGTCTGTGTTAGGGTCTGAAATCTCACATAGTCTAATAGACATTATTAGACTAAACTTTGATGATTGCAGCCTTGGCAACCAGGAGTTTCAGGTATAAGTGGAGTATTTAGGGGTGGTATTAGAGCTATTATGGCTATGTTCTCTCTTCTCTGGACCAAATGGGATTGGAGACTCCAAAAAGGCCAAGCTGTTGGTGGTACTGCACGGGTTAAGGCTGGGGAGATCTCTCAACTTGTGGAATTTGGTAGTGGAAGGTGATTCCCAGGTGATAGTGAGATGGTTTAAACATAACAAATTTGGCTTCCTTTTTTGCTCCTGGGCTCTCTTGGAAGTTGGATCTAGGATTGAGAAGGGTTTGAGGGCCTCTGAATGTAATCAAGTTATTGTTCTCTTTTTTTTTATCAGTATCAAGTTATTGTTCTCTTGTATTTTGGAGGAGAGTTTTTTAAGACACTTCCAAACCTTACACCGGAATTTGGACTCTCATTCTTTCTAGTACTTTTCATGTGCATTTTTTTTCTTGGAACTTTTTGGCCCCCACCATGTTGGCTTTCCTGTTAGGTCTATTTAGTTTGGACTAGTGCCGCCCAAAATTTGGGCATTTTGTTGGGAGGTATTCCACCTAAAAATCAACACTTGTGATAATGTGCAAAAAAGAAAGCCTAATTGGTGCCTCTCTCCTTGTAAAAGTTTCCTGCGTGATGTAAGCAGGGAAACTACTTTCCTTTGCTAATTTCTTGTCCTTTTACCTCTAATATTTGGGATTGGTTTGTAGCTTGTAGGTAGTCTCCACCTAATAATGTGAGCAGTATTTTTTCACTATTCTTTTTTTATCTCATCCATAAAAGGGGAAAGATTTTGTGGAGATGTACAAGGGTGGCCATCCTTTGGACCATTTGGGAAGAAAGAAATTCAATAATTTCAAAGAGAATATTCTTTCCCAAGAATCAATGATAGAAATAATCTCCTTCAAAGTGGTGCATTGGGTCAAAACCTTGGATATCTTTGGACCTTTTTCAAGGGATGATATTCTTAAAGGCTGGTGGATTTTGGCTAACTCGTTTTCTACTAGGACTATCGTTATGAGAGAGTGGACCACCCAGCCCTAAATCAGATAACATTAAACTTTGATGGATGCATTAGCATTATTTTCTGGACCTATTTGTGTGGAGGACTCTACAAGATCTGAGTTGCAAGCTGTTTTGTATGGGTTGAAGATGAGAAGGCTGAATATGAGGAATATAGTGGTGGAAAGAGAATCAATGATGGTACTTAGCTGGCTACAAGATGGAGTAATGAAAGAGGAAACTGACTCATTTTTAAAGTCAGAGAGGGCATACAAAGAAGGAAATTGGTCCTTTAGAGGGGCATCCCCCACCCAAGTTTGTTCCCTAAATTTTATGGAATTACCTAAATTCAAGTCATACCTGATAAGAGGGGAAAAAATTGTTAACAACTCATGGATGGCTTTCCAAGGTGAAGCGCTTGTAGTCCTAGCTCGGATTCCAGCATCCAATCCATTCAGCTCCAGCCCATGTATGCTTTCCACTATCATGGCCCATAATTTCTCCTTCTCTAGTGGGTATCTCCACAACCATTTCCCCAGAAGGGCCAAATTCCTTTTTCTAATGTTCTCGAGTCCCAAACCACCACTGTTTTTACTCCTGGTCACCACCTTCCAGCTTACTTTATGGTCCCTTTTCTCTTCTCCTGGCTCCCAAAGGAAATCTCTCATCATATTTTCCAATCTGTTAGAAACCTTTACTGGGATTTTGAACACTGAAAGGAAATAAGTAGGTAAATTTGCTAGTGTGGCCTTAATTGGTGTCATCCTCCCTCCCAGAGAAAGGTAATTCCTTTTCCAAGAGACAAGTCTCTTTTCAAATCTTTCCACCACCAGATTCCAGAAACTCTCTCTCTTTGGATCGTCACCCAATGGCAACCCCAAATAATTCAAAGGCCACTCTGAGACTTCACACCCTAGCACTTCTGCATTCTCTGTGATCTCTCCCTCCTCCAAATTCACACCCACTACACAACTTTTCTCAAAATTCACCTTCAAGTTTGACATTTGTTCAAAGAGTTGTATCACCAATTTCATGTTCCTTATATACCTCATATTTCCCCCTTCACAGAACAAAATCGTATCATCTGCAAACTGTAGATGGGTGAGGGGGGTTTCCTCCCTTCCAGCTCTCCAACCTCTAATAAGACCCCTAGAATCTGCTCTGTGAATCAATCTCCCTAGAACATCAACAATCAGTGTGAACAAGAAGGGAGACAGGGGGTCTCCTTGTCTTACACCCCTAATGGCTGGAAAGAAGTCAACCACAATCCCGTTTACTAGTACAGAATAATGACAATTCCGAACACATGCCATAATCCATTTGCACCATCTAGTCCCAAATCCGAATTTGGTCATAACTTTTCCCAAAAAATCCCAGTCCACCAAGTCATAAGCCTTTTCTAGATCCAACTTACATACCACTCCTTTCTATCTTTCTTGAAATTCTCCACACTCTCATTAGCAATTAGAATTTGATCTGTACTTTGTCTTTCACTCACAAAGGCTCCTTGATTTGGTGTAATGATAGCTAGCAATACTTCCTTCAGTCTCAGAGGCAACACCTTTTGAAGGATCTTATACAATCTATTTACCAGAGTGGTTGGCTTGAAGTCCTTTGGATGCAATGCATCTTTCTTTTTTGGGACCAAAGCTAAAAAGGTGGATTACACCTAGGTTAACCACTCCTCTCCTATGAAATTCCTCAAACACCAACAGAAGGTCACCTTTCACCGTATCCCAGCAGTCTTGGTAGAAAGCTATTGTGAAATCATCCGAACCTGGAGCTTTTGTTCTATCCATAGAGAAAATAGCCTCCTTAATCTTTTCCAACTCAAACCTTCTTTCCAACATTCTCCCGTTATCAAACCCCATTTTTGGCCAGTCCAATCCTTCTAACCACACCCCCTTACTTATAGGCCTTCTTAGAATGGATTTATAGTGTCTCACAAATGCTCCTCAATCTCATCTTGTTGTGTTAACTCAACTCCATCCACTTCCAGTTTGGAGATAAAATTTCTCCTTCTCCTCCCATTTGCCAAAGAGTGAAAGAAGCTGGTATTCCTATCTCCCTCTTGCAGCCATTTACATCGAGATTTTTGCCTCTAGCTAATTTTCTTCTTGTGTAGGCAGTCCTCAAGATGACTTCTCAAACCTCTTCTTTGTTCCTTGTTTGCCTCTCCAAAGTCTCCCCTTTCATCTTTCAAGTCAAGGCTCTCAATTTGGTCCATCAATGTTCTCTTTCTTTCTTCTAGCCTTCCAACTCCAATTGATTCCACTCCTTGATCTTTGCTTTCATAAATTGTAGCTTCTTATGGAACCTCATCCCTTCCCATTCCACCATTGGGTTAAACTCATTCCACCACTTCCTTACTCTTTTAGTGAACCCAAGGTAAAGCAACCACATATTTTCAAACCTAAAGGGGGCAGGTCCACCACTCCTTTCCTCCTTGCAAATCACTATAGGCCAATGGTCAGAGGTTAATCTAGGAAGAGCCCTAGAATCTAAATTTCCCTAGTGTTCTTCCCAATCCAAAGAGAACAGAAACCTATCCAACTTGGAGCAGATGGGACTCGATTGGAGATTTGACCAAATGAATGTCTTATGGGCTAAAGGTAACTCTTTGAGTTCAAAGGCATCCACAAACCGATTAAACTTCCTCATACTAGTTGTCACCCTTTGATTAGCATTATTGGTCTCTTCCGTGAATCTAATCACATTAAAGTCCCCGCCTACGCACCAAGGCCCATCCTCTAACATCTGCTAGTTCCTCCCACAATTCCTTTCTTTCTATGTAATCATTTGGTCCATAAACATTTGTGAGCATCCACACAAAATCATCCTCTTATTGCTTAAACTTCTTTGAGATTGAGTATTTTCCAATCAGTTCCTCCAAACCATCCACCACATCCCTCTTCCACATTGTCACTATTCCCCCTTGAAGCACCCCAAGAGGGAGCAGCCACCCAGCTAATCCCCCTGGCTTTCTAAATACTCCTTGCCCATCTATTATTAAACTCCATTCTCTTGGACTCCTGCATTAGTACAATGTTTGGGTCATACCTCTTTATTACCTCTTTGATCATTGCTCTTTTCCGAGCACTTCCTAACACTCCAACTCAGTATTTTCTTGATTTAAGGTTTTGTTTGGTTTTTCTTGATTTATTGGAGAAAGGAGTGGATAATTTTTATATTTTAAGATGAAGAGAAACATTCATGTCAGTGAAATGAATGAAGAATTTAAAGAAACTTGTTTTTCTATGTCAGTGAAATGATTCTTGTTAGTTTAACTGGTTTTGTTTGGAGAAAATGGAGTTATTTTTGTGTCAATTAGGGTTTAAGAGAAGAGGGCGAGTAAAAGGATGTAAGGAAAGTTTTCACCTTATTTTTGGGAGACTCCTCAAGGGTAGAACTGTAGAAGTTTTCGCCTTATTTTTGGGTGACTCCTTAAGGGTAGAAGTTTTCGCCTTACTCCAATGTCTCAGACTAGAAAAGCAATGGGGAATGCAACAATTAGAAGTGGAAGGAGATTCCAAACTGGTAATAGGCTGGATGCAAGCAAGAAGCTTGGACACATGGCTTTTCAGACAACAACTTAGAGAAATCTTGAGCTTAGCAAGGGAGATTGGGGTGCAATTTAAATGGGCAAGAAGATCAGCAAATGGAATGGCTGATGCTTTAGCTACTAAGCAAGGAGTTAATAGGCAGGAGTTTTTTTTTTTTTTTTTTGCTCAATAACTCTGAAAATTTTCATTAATTAAGATGCTTTAGGATACAACAAGAAGTTGCAAAGAATCAGCATAGAAGCTGACCCAGGACAAAATTACAAATGTGCCCAAAACATATCTGTTCTTTGAACCCCTTGCTTTGCTAAGCTATCAGCCAAACTGTTGGCCTATCTCCTAACCCAACCCACCTGAATTGACATATTCCTTGACATCCATTTGAACCTTCTGAAATCATTCTTCGGCTGCCAGGTCACTTCTTCCCCTTTCTGCAACCATTTAATCACAGTTTTTGAGTCTCCCTCGATCAGTCTATTAATCCCCAACTCTTTGGCCTTCTCAACCCCATATACCGTAGTTAGAAGCTCTGCCCTAGCCACATCACCTTCCTCCATAGGACTGGAGAACAGAGCAATAATGGAACCATTTTCATTTCTAATGCCCCCCCGCCCCAATACCTGAGGGGCCTGGGTTACCCACACAACTCCCATCAAAGTTCAGCTTCTTCCAACCCTCTGTTGGAGGGGACCAAGTCTCACACACCTGTCGCCTCCTAGATGATGAAGCAACAATAAGTTCCCAAACCCTGAAAAAGTCTTCAACTTTAAAATCTGAAAACAGCTTTAAGCTTTTTACCCAATGTGCCACCCTCAATGTTATTGTTTCAACTAAAGCTTCCTTGCATTTTTCTTTACTTGCAAGTCTGTTTTCATCAAAGGGCTCTCTATCCGGTCTTTGGATGGTGACAGTTGTAACCTCCAACTATTACTATTAAAGTTACCATTTCCCATAAAAAAGGAAATAAAGAAAGTTCATGTGGGTATTTTGGTAATTTAATGCATTCCATCACCTGACTTAATGGCCAGGGGTATTTGTCACAAAGTGAAAGTTCAGGGAGGCAATTGTCATTGACCCCAGACAGTCTTTGTAATTTACCCTTTTTATTTATATCTTGTTTTGTCAAGGGAGGCTTGTTTTAAAGCCCTTACTAGAAAATAATTTCTTTACATTATTTAATACCTGATAGAATTTATTTTCCATCATATGTAGGTTAGAGAGCCATTATATGTGGATTAATTGACTTTCAAGTTAAACTTGATTATATCATCTTGGGCTTCTATTGTACAAGTGGTAAATTCTACTGTTTTAGACTAAAAATAGGGTAAAATCAATTGATAAAAAAAGGGTACTATATGTATTATCCTTTTAGTATATCTATTAATCTATACTTATTTTTTTGACACATTTGTGAAAAATAGAAATAATCTCATAATTTATGATATAAATACGATTTGGTTCAACTCTATGATTTTTAGAACATCAAGAAAAAGTTCTATATCAATTTGGAGAATTGTTGTACTATATATTAAGAACTTCCCAAGAATGGCTGAAGTATTTGTCATTACTCAGTACTCACAAAAGGTTTTCAGCATATTAAACAATCCAAATGCCATTAGAAGCCATTTGTCAAGCCCTTCCTTTATTTTGAAGGCTGTCTTCCATTAATTTCAAGGATGAAGTGTCTGATATTAGTCATTGAGGTCAATTTTATTTTAGAAAAAAATTTAGCATCTGCTAAAGCAATGATATCAAGCCTCAGTATGGGAAACAAATATTTCACAATGATTTTGTTTATGGCAAATAGATCTGTTCATGGGCCCTGTTTTGCCTCTTTATCAACAGAAAATGTCCAGGCCCGAGCCCAAGCCCAAAGCTTGGTCCGCACATAAAATGTCCTATTTATGATGTAATTTAATAAATTAATATTGTATTAATTTGGTAATAATCTAATAAATTAATAAACTAATCGTATTTCCTGAATAGTAAATTAAGTATTTGAATATAATTTAATAAATTAATATATATTATATATAATTATTAGCTATAATTAGTGTATGTTTTTATTATATGTAACAGCGGACCTGAAGTTTCGTCCAAGCCCAAAAAATAACGGGCTGGGCCAGCCCATTCGGCTATCTGGTCCATGAACAGGTCTAATGACAAAACTATCCACAAAGCATTTTTGAAGTGCCATTTACTTTGGAGTAAGCAATGTTGCACCACAAGAATTTAAGCTTTCTCCTGTGAAGCCTTTGTTTAAGAAGTTAGAAGTTAGAACTTGTCCATTGAGTTCCTCATGTTCGTTTGCTCTCATTCTATAATAAGGTTTGTTTGGTCAGCTTGCAAGTTTACCCATTTGGTCATGTGGTAACCCATTTAATCTCATTCATTTGTCATGATTTGTTGCTATGTCACTCGCTGAAAGCTTTACCCTGGATTATCAGGCTTAGTGAAGATCTCATGATGCAAAAACTTTTCATTGACTTCTTGATTTAGTCAAATTGGACCGAGTGAGTTAGGTTTCTAAGGCATTCAAATACATGGCAAATTGGAAGCCCTGTTGAATATGATGTTACCAGATTCTGCCTGCCTGTTTGCTGATAATTTTTGGTGGATTATTTGCTACGTACTTTCAAGTTGATAGCATAATTTAATACTGGAAGTTTCAGGTTGAGATAATTGAGTTCTTTGTTCTCAAGTTTGTTTTGACCTTTGAGTTTTTATTTTGGCAGAAGTTTCAATCCCATAGTCTACTAAGAGTCCCATCAATGGGTTCTCCTGGCTCCCAATCACCTGGGACACCACAAAATTTGCAAACCCATACACAACCATGGATGTCAGGTGGTTCGCAAGGGAAACAAATGCATCCACCATCCTTACCATCCTCTTCATATAGGCCACAGATGAAGCCACAGTCTTTGCAGCAAAGATCACATATTCCTCAGCAACATCATCCCTTGCCAACAGCTTCCCATCAGCAGCAGATCCCATCTCCTCAGCAACAGCAACAGCCATCACAGCCACATCAATCACAAGATCATTATGGACAGCAATATCCAGCACCAAGGGTTGCACAGTCTGCGCTTCATCAACAGCAGGTTACACGGGGTCAGGGCTCAGGAAGCCAAAAATCTCCCTCTCTTGCAATAATGCCTACCACAGTCCAGTCAGGCTCACACAATACAACATCTAATGCAGATGCTGGTGAAATCTGTAGTAAAATTCTCAGCAAGAGAACTATCCATGAGTTAGTCACACAGGTTAGCCATGCGAGGTTCCTTGTTTATTTCTCTAAGCATTGGAATTGCTACTGTACTTAAGGATGGGTTTCTAGTGGGGGTCTTGTATGTGTGTTGCTGTGGTACTATGTTATTATCAAAAATGAAAAGTTCCCAGAATTATCTTTTTCACTAAACGATAGTTTCTTTACTTGGAATACATGGCATGTTACTTGCCTAGACATTACCCATGTTTTAGAAGARATTTTTTGCAGCATGATCATCAGATATGTTTTTTTATTAAAGTTAACTGAGTCTCATTTAAAGAAAAAAGTACATGAGATGAGGTACAGTAGGAAACAAAAATAAAATAGCCACAAGCAAGGGGTTTTTAGGGATTCTATTTTTTGGACTCAATTATAAGCTGATTTGTTCTTGAGGCTGCATCTCAAGAACAAAGAATTTAAGACCCTAACATGGACTTGTTTGGGCTTGTCTCGAGGGGTGTGGCACAAAGGCGGCTCGTAGAATCAGGAATGTAATATGTTTTACATCACATTAGCTACTTGAAGTAATGCAATTGAGGAAAAAAGAGATTATGGGTTTTACATGCTTGAAAATGTTTTATATGTTTGATTTTGTTTTTAAATTCTCAACTGAATATGCTTTACATGTTATGTTTATGTATTTTAATTTTAGATAATAGGTTTTTTAAAACATTTACTTTAAAATTTAAGTTTATATTTTTTATTAATATTATGTTTAATATTTTTGATTTTTTTTTGCATTTTTTGAATTTTCTGACAATTTTTTTTTTTATTTTTTAGCATTTTTTTAAATTTATGCGCCTTGCTTCAAAAAGGCATGCGCCTCGGGTGCAAATTGACCCCTGTGCTTTTAAAACACTAGGGGTGCACCTCAGGCATAACTGCATAAGGCTTGGTTACAGACAGGGCCCCTTCAAAATTTAACAAAGCCGTCCAAGTTGCAGCCCTACCCAGATCTTGTTTGGGTGTCATCCAAAATGAAATGATCTTATTAGGATTGAGGAAGAGTGAGGAGTGATTGGAGATGGGGAGAGAAGGTAGAAGAAGAGAAAATTAAAGAGAAGAGAAGACGAGTAAAAGTGGGCAAGTTACCCTAAGGATCAGGTCGTCCAGACTATTTTTTCTTATTTTTTAAAAGAGGAAGACATTACATGTTAACAGTACTTGTACTTAAGCTGTAGGGGCTTTTTTGTCTTTGTACCCTTTTTACTTTAAGTTGTTGGGTTGCCCTAATATAAATATAAGTGGTGGCGCCGCCAGCCTGGATTTTTTGACCCCAAACAATTGTTTTCTCTCTTCCTCTCTTCTTTTTTCTCTTTTCAATTTCTCCAAGAAAACATGGTATCGGAGCAAGAGTGTGGTCTGAAAGCAAAGTACTAGCATCCACTGGTTCTGAAGGGATCGAAAGTTTTTTTCTTGGCTGTGTGCCAAGATAGAACCTGAGAAGTTGTAAAAGAATGCTGTGAAGGTGTTGGAAGTGTGGTTTTACCTTCTTTGTGGATTGTATGATCCTTGTGCATCCAGGTGAGTGCTTTTGTAGGTCTGGAATGACCTGTACCATCAGTAACAGCAAGTTTTTTTGACTATTCCTGCATCTGTTGTGATTGTATGCTCTAGGGAAAAAGGGTTTGATGATTGTAGGGCCTATCAAGACCCAACCTGATCTGTTTTGTGCTAGTTTTTGACCCTTCATTTTCTCCAGCAGTGTTCCAGTACCTTGAAATCTGGAATTATTTGCAGACTGTAGGGAATACAATATTGTGGTGCTGTTTATGTGTGATTAAGAAGTTGGGTGCTTGTTATCTCTCTTGTGTGGGTGAAAAGTAACATCATGTCGTCTGAGGATTCAGCCACTTCTGGTGTGTTTGCTACTCATGGTGGAATGACTGGGGGGTTTGATCTGAATTTTCCTATGTCTGCTATTCCTCTAGATGTAGGTGGACTTAACTACCTAGATTGGCCCAAAGGGATTAAACTTTACATAACCGCAAGAGGGAAGATAGGGTACATCAATGTGCAGAACATGATAAATGGAACCAAGAAAACAGTATGGTGATGTCGTGGCTCTTGGTTTCTATGCTGCCACAAGTGAGGAAAAATTTTATGTAGGCAGAGATAGCTTATGAAATTTGGGAGCAAGAAAAATCTACATATTCTAAGCAAAGACACTATGCAAAAATCTATCAATTGTAAGTTGAATCCTCTACTTGTAGATAGGGGGAGAGGAGTCTCTTAGTCTATTACTCGATTTGACCTCCATTTGGAGGGACCTGAATCATTATTTGAATATGGACTGGAAGTGTGATGATGAAGATGCAAAAGCCTACAAGTCTTTTGTTTCACAGCAGCGTGTCTTTGCCTTCCTTTTGGGGTTGAATCCTATATATGAGTATATAAGGGTGTAGATTTTGGGAAGCAAAGATCTTCCTCCAGTGCAGGAGGTAGATGTCTTAGTACAGTCAGAAAAAAGCAGGAGGAATGTAATGAACAGTTCAGAGGGGGAGCTTGTTGCTTTGGCAGTTAGGGGAAGTGCAAGTGCAAGTGGTGGAAATTCCTTTAAGAAGGGTGACCCTTTGAAAAGGCTAGATGACAGATAAACTTTGGTGTACTCATTGCCAATGGTTTAGGCATACTAGGGACACTTGTTGGGATTTCCATGGAAAATCTAAGTGGATTCAAGAATTAAGTAAGAAATCAATTTAAGAACAAAACAAGAAGCCTAGTTAACAGAGTTAGAAGAAGCATAGTTCAGTAAACATGGCTTCACAAGAACATCAGCCTTCAGGTTCCACTTTGAATCAGTATCTTCCTTCTAGTTATGATCCAAAGGAAGATATTATCAGCTCATTCCGTGACCAACTTGAGCTCTATGGTAGGACACTTTGTCAGATGGATTCTGACATCAGGTAACTCTGTCATAACCTTCCATGTATCTTCTCATGTTTCAGAGTCTCACTAGATCATTGATTCTGGAGCCTCAAATCATATGACAGGTAAGTCCCATTTATTTCAGTCCTATAACTTGCTTTCTGGGAGAGATAAGGTGAGACTAGTTGATGGTTCATTCTCCACCGTAGCTGGTTAAGGAACCATTTCCCTCCCACTTGGCCTTACTCTTTCATACCTAAACTTCCCATAAACCTGTTTTCCATTAGTAGCATTACAAACTCTTTGAACTGCTCAGTGACATTTTTCCCTACTTCTTGTGTTATACAGGATTTGACCTTGGGGGAGACGTTTGGTATAGGAAATGTAGTCGATGGTTTCCATGTGTTGGATAATAAAGCTGGTCATGAGGCTATAGAGTCTGAGTCAGGTTTATTTATGGCATAGTCATCTTGGTCATTTGTCTTTTGAGTCATTGAAAATTTTGTATCTAGAATTGTTTAAGTTAATGTCTGTCTTTAAGATTCCTGCTAGGGAAGCTAAGAGGTTAGAGAAAATGATGAGGGATTTCTTGTGGGAGCTGGGGCAAGAGAAGAAGGATCATCTGGTTAGATGGGAGATAGCTAGTCAAAGTAAGGAGGAAGGAGGATTAGGAATAGGGATATCACTTTCAAGAATGTAGCCCTTCTAGGTAAGTGGTTGTGGAGGTGGCCTTTAGAGAGGGAGAGGTTATGGCATGAAGTGGTGGCAAGTATCCATGGCTATTCCGGAAATGGTTGGGTGCAAGGGTATCCAGACGGGCAACTCTTGCAACACCTTGGAAGGCAATTCATGGAATCCTCCCATAGTTCCTACGCTTTGTAAGGTATGATGCTTGCTCTGGGACTCGTATTCTTTTCTGGGAAGACACTTGGGTGGGAAATTTGCCCCTTAAGGATCTGTTCCCTTCTCTCTTCTCTATTTCTCTTTATAAAAAAGAACCAGTGTCTTCCTTTATTTTGCCCTTGCATACCCCTTTGTTGACAAATTGGAACTTTGGATTCCGTAGAGGGTTGAGGGATGAGGAATCCTTATCAGTTTCTGAGCTCCTATTGTTACTTGATTCTGCTTGCCTGGACCCACTAAATCCTGATAGGAGGATTTGGACTTTGACTCCGAAAGGGCTGTTTACTTGTGCTTCTTTCTTTAATTCCCTCTGCTCCAGTTCTTCTCCTCGAGCTTTCCCAGTTAAGGAAGTTTGGTCTAGGCCTATTCCCCCCAAAATTGCTGTATTTTGTTGGGAAGTTTACTTGGGTAAAATTAATACGATGGATAACCTGCAGAAGAAAAGACATTTTTTGGGTTTATCTCCTAACTGGTGTATTTTGTGCAAAGCGCAGAATGAGGACTGTTACCACTTATTGATTTCTTGTCCTTTTGTTGCAGCCATTTGGAATTGGGTATTTGATTTGTTTGAGTGTAGGTGGAACTTGCCAATTGAGTTAAACTTGTTGTTTTCCCCTTCTACCTTTGTGTGGACCACAAGAAGAGGGAGAGTCATGTTGAAGTGTATAAGAGTAGCTCTCCTTTGGACTATTTGGGAAGAGAGAAATTCTTGAATTTTTTAGGAGAAGGAAAGAAGCATTCTTGAGGTCAAAGAGTGTATTGTTACAAGGACTATTTTGTGGCTGAAATCCTTAAAGCTCTTTGAAGATTATTCCTTNGAGAAGGAAAGAAGCATTCTTGAGGTCAAAGAGTGTATTGTTACAAGGACTATTTTGTGGCTGAAATCCTTAAAGCTCTTTGAAGATTATTCCTTCGAGGATTTAATGAGGAATTGGTCTACAATTGCCCTCACTTCCTCTACGAAGTTTAGAGTCCAAGTAACTTGGACTCCACCGATGGAGGGTTTTATTAAGCTGAACTTTGACGGAAGTAGTCAAGGTAACCCAGGATCGTCTAGGATTGGTGGTGTACTGAGAGATGAGAACAGCAACATTATTGCCTTTTTTTCGGGACCGGTGGGAATAGGAGACTCTGTGAGGGCTGAACTCCTAGCTGCGGCACAGGGGGTACAGATTGCCTATCAACTCGGAGTGCAAAACTTAATAATTGAAGGAGACTCCAAGG